TTTTTTTGATAAGGCTTGTGTATTAATTCTAATAGCACAATATGCTTTCACAAGTCAAAATTATACATTGACTCAACGTTCATTGGATGAGCTTCAAACTGTTTATTTTCCTTCATCATTAATTCAATCTTCGCAAGCTTATAACAGATTTCCTATCTCAAATCGTCATCTTTATTTACACTTCTCACTATTATATATTACTTATCATATGCATACTGGTAATATGAAATTAGCTGCAGAAAGATTATCAGAAGTTCACCATATTTTGGATAGTAATTCTTTGAATGATATTAATGTGGATGGATCAACAGGAGAAACTACAGTAAATATATTTTCTTACAAAATGTTTTTTCTTGGTGACTTTTTTATGCTTAATAAATGGTAGTATTCAAATCTAACCATGGCTCAATTAAATTTCTTCCATCTATATATCAATTAATTATTATTTTATTATTTTTTTCAATTCTTTCCGTTTATACTATATATTTATTAGATACATATTTCTCCAGTTTCCGAGTCTTCATTGAGCCTTTCTTATCCAAACAATAACGACAAAAGTTCTACAACTTCTCAAAACTTACCATTAAAGATTTGTTGGCTGTCAAATTCACAAATTTATGCCTTAACATTTTTAATTTCGGGAATATGTAATCGAGGTGATACTGCAACCATGAAATCCACAATGTTTTTGACAGAAGGATTGAAGATTGTAGAACGTAATTATTTTTATTATAAGGAATAGCATAGTTTTCATAAATTGATGACGAAATTGGCATATACTCTATCTGAGTTTGTTGTAGATGTTGCGGATATTGATCATGATATTGCTGAGTGTATTGTGTAGTTTGTGTGGTTTGTTGTGATTGTGAGGCAGGTTGTGATGCTGGTTGTGATTGATAACTCCATTGCTGTTCTTCTTGTTGTTGTTGTAGTTGTTGTTGTTGTTGTTGTTGTTGTTGTTGTTGTTGTTGTTGATTTGGTGTCAACCATTGTTGTTGTGGATATTGTGTAGGATAATTATTGTGTTGAGACATTTTTTTCATTCCTAAAAAAAATTATGCAAAATAACTTGGGCTTTTATGCTTTGTTGAACATTACACAAATTGTGTAAATTCTGGTAAGAGATTTCTTTGGAAACAAAACAATCAGCATGAAGAAAAACTTCTTTCTTTTTTTAACAACAACAACAACAACAACAATAATAATAATAATAATAGCGTATTATGCGGAATATTGTAATACTACAAGGTTTACTGAAAAGGTTTTATTAAAAGAAATAAAAGCTTTAACATTACATAGGGATCAATACACAACAGGACGCAGAGTTTCACCAATTAAACAAATTGAATGTGTTAATGGTGATGCTTGTCATGTCTATAGACCTGGTAAATGAATCAATATAATAAGATGAATTAATTGGTGTTGATAAATATTTTTTTGTATAATTTTTTTCCTGTTAATTATAGATGTTATTCAATGCATTAATGTTGGTTCAGATGGCACAGGTTATTTTTATTCTTATTATTTATCTATTATTCTATTGGCTTGATCGATATTGTTGTGTCTATGTCTTTAAATTTTATCTTCTTTAATAATAAAGATGTAAATTGGAGATGTGAAGCTGAACTTCCCAATTATATAAAATTTGGATCTGTATGTAAAAATTTGATCAATTGGTTGATTAATTGAGATTCTACATAGATTTTAATTTGCAGTGAAGCATTACTAATATTTTAAAAAAATACTTGGTTTATGATATAATTTAGCTGTCAGTAATATGTGAAGGTAACAAAAAAAATTGTTTTTGATTCTGATTTATTCATAATCTTATTTAATCTTAATCTGATTGTTATTATTACAGGTTATGATTATCCTGATGATTCATATGTTTTAAAAGGTTTTCTTTTAAAACCCAAAATTACAAATATGAGAATACTAATTAATTAATTAATTTACTTACATTTATTTATTTATTAATTGGTTATCTAGGATCATGTGGATTAAAGTATTCATTTTATTATAAAGATTATTCAAATTATCCTGATCATAAAATAAATTCTGATGATGACAAATTTATTGAAGAATTTTTTGAATATCGGAATCGTAAGTTTTTGTCTCTTCTTTCATTTTTGATTCTTGATTTTTATAAGAAAATTATTGTTTGGTTATTGATATTTTGTTCTAATATTTTTTAGGGTCAAAACTGTTTTCATTGCTTTTCAAAATTTTATGGTTTGCCTTGGTTATATTTATTCTATATAATTTAATTAGTAAATGTTTGACAGGGTAAGATTGAAAATTATTATTATTGTTATTGGTTATATAATTCATTTCTATTTAGTAAGAATTTATTATGTTATTTAATTTCTAATTTTGATCAAGAAATAATAACAATAATCGTCAGCAAAGATTGGGATGTTCAGAGGCAGGGTAGTTATATGAGGGAAACAATGGCACAAAGCTTTTAAAGGAAAGAGGACTTAAAACCCCCAAAATGATGAAAGATATTTTTGACCAACTTTGTGTCATAATGGATCATGCTGAAAAGACGAGCAGAGTACTCGAATCTA